TTCAGAAATCATTCTGATATTCTGATTTGCTGCTCAAAAAACATTTATTATTATTATTATGATGTTGAAAACAGCTGAGTAGAATTTGTTCAGGTTTCTTTGATGAATAGAAAGTCCAGAAGAACCGCATTTAGGTTATCTGAAATAGAAACCTTTTGTAACATTATAAATGTCTATCATTACTTTTGATCAATTTAAAGCATCCTTGCTAAATAAAAGTGTTAATTTCTATAATTTCTTCTCCAAAAAAATTAAAATTATACTGACTCTAAGCTTTTGAATGGTATAGTGTGTAATGTTACAAAAGCTTTTTATTTCACATAAATGCAGATCTTTGGATCTTTCTATTCATCAAAGAATCCAGAAAAAATTTACTCAACTGTTTTAAATATTGATAATAATAATAATTATTATTAAAAAAGTTTTTTTGAGCAGCAAATCAGCATATTATAATGATTCCTGAAGGATGTGACACTGAAGACTGGAGTAATGACGATGAAAATTCAGCTTTGATCACCGCAATCATTTTAAAATATATTCAAATAGAAAGCAGTTATTTTAAATAGTAAAAATATTTCACAACATTACCGCTTTTGTTGTACTTTGAATCAAATAAATTCAGGCTTGGTGAGCAGAAGAGAAATAAAACATTAAAAATCTTATTGTTCAAAAACTGTTGACTGGTAGGTTATATAGATTACAGAAATGTTATATTGTAATGTTATTTATATATATATATATATATATAACATTTCTGTCCCCCTCACTTCTGAAATGATGGCTACGCCCATAAATACTGTTTTGTAGCTCTTTAATGTGTCGTGACAGGTCAGGTAGTGCCTCAGTTCAAGCAGCATGTGAACCGATCGTCTTTTTTATATTTACGTACAGCACAAAATAAACGTGAATGAACATCAGAACACATTTTATTTCAACTTCGGAAAGACATCAATGCACACAATTTTTCAAGTTGAAGTCCACCGAAGTTAATCTACTCTCCTGTCTGATTTGTTTGTCGGACAAGATGGCAGATTCGGCATTACGATTGGTCAGATCGCCTGTCAATCAAGTTCTTTGCGAAGGGTCAATTGCAAGATTTAAACTTACAATTCTAAATAAAAAAAGTCCGAATTGTGAGATTAAAACTCATAATTTTAAATAAAAAAGTCAGAATTGGGAGAATTAAAGTTGCAATTCTGTGAGATTTAAACTTACAATTCTAAAGAAATATGTCAGAATTCTGAGATTATCTCATAGTTCTATAGAAAAAAAGTCAGAATTGCGAAATGTAAACACAAAATTGCTAGAAAAACGTCTGAAAGTCTGAAATCTGAGATATAAACTCATTGTGAGATAAAAAGTTGCAATTACCTTTTTTTTAAATTCCATGGCAGAAACAGGCTTCCATACAAAATAACAAGCCTTGGTAAGTTACTTCAGAAGTTTTGTTCCTGTAATTTGTGAACTGAAAGTTGATGAAAGTGTCAGCTAAATTGCAAGTTTGAACTTGATGAACCTGCATTACGCAGCTTCTAAACAATTACTAGTTGTACGATGTCACTTGTATTCATCAGTATGGCACGTGATGGTTCCAATTAAGTAGTCGTGCTGCTAGCTGAAGGTCACTGATTGACAACATTGCTGTGATCACTACTCATTTTTTGTGCCATTTGACAGGCGTCTCTGCGGGACGTGCGTTAATAGTTGGAAAAAATTTTATGTGCTTGTCTTCTGCCTTCTGCTTTTGGTCATGACACCTCATCTTGGTTCACAGCCAAGTTTTTCTGTCTTTTAGACCCCTAATTAAGTTTGATGAAGCACTGCGGAATACCATTATACTTCAAGTCTCTTGCTTTAACCATCTTTTTCCCATCAGGCTGATATGAAGCTCATTATGATTTAACTTTTGTTATAAGAGTGCCTGCCAATGTCTGTCTTCTTTGGAACAGCGACTGCATCCCAATTTGCAGAAAATCTGTACTAAATACTATACTAGATTAGGATCTTAAATCATAGGAAAATATTATGTCAAAAGTGCATGAAGAGAATACTAATTAAAATGAATTTTCGAAACATTTCGAAACGTCTCAAAAACGTTGTGCAATTCTGAGTGTGCTACACACAGGTGAGTGGGCTAGACAAACCACATGTAGGAACACACTCTTTTCTCTCTAAATGCACCAGACACTTTCTTATCAACACTCCATGTTACAAGAACTTAATAAGGACTTAACAAACGTTTACTTGTGAATGCACCACAAATCATATTTCATCTTTTGCACAATATCATGCACAGTTATTATGTAAGGTACTTGTAAAATCTGTCTTAGGTTATGTATATGAATAGTCAACTATTTATAGTATATGTATAGTTAGATTACCGCTTTCAGTAAGTTGGTTATGTATAGGTTTAAAAATTGTTCTTCCGTCTAGTGTTGTATGTTTATATTTATGTTTATGTAGCACCGTGGTCCTGCGAGACACGACATTTCGTTCCACTGTATGTCCACACATGTAGCGGAATGACAATAAATGACAATAAATAATTTTATTATGTGATAACTATTGCTTTGTCTGTTAAACAGATCGTTTGATATGTACTGAGTATTTATGTGTTTTTAACCTAAATCACAGCAGGACGTTGACTGTCAAACATATACACAAGCCAATCATAGTAGTGGGCGTTTACTTCCGAGTCTACAATCCGCCACACCCATCAAACTAAATTTTTTTAATGTAAAAATCTTGATAACATTATGGGCCCTATTTTAACGATCTAACGAGCATGGTCTAAAGCGCAAGGCGCAGGTGCACTTAGGGCATGTCCGAATCCACTTTTGCTAGTTTAACAATGGGAAAAATGGTCGGTGCAACTATCAAATGGTCTAAAATAAGGTTGTCCCTATTCTCTTAATGAGTAATGGGTGTGTTTTGGGCATAACGTGCAATAAACCAATCAGAGTCTACCATTCCCGCTCGCGACATGGCAGATTCGCTATTTACACAGCGGCATTTGCAAGCAAAGACTGAACGAGTCTCCAGAGATGAAATGGAGCTGCTCGTGCACGGGCAAATAGGTAGCCTAATTCTGATACATGCAATGACTATCCATTATGACATGTAGGCATTTTTATATTTATGTAGCCTACACAATAATAATCTTTTACACTGTAATCCTTTAATTTTTTATATTTGACATGTTTGTGTGCTGCTGCGTGTCCCTGTGTGTGTAATAAGCAGAGTGTACGCATGTTGTGGACCTGCCTATAGGCGCATATTACTAACGCGCTCTTTAAATAACAAAAAATAGTGCGACATTGACGTTAGACCAGGATTTAGTTGGTCAATGGCACAGTCTATTTCAGTTGCCTCAAAACAATTAGGCAACAATGCACCTGAACACACCTCGTTTTCAGACCAGCACGCCCATGGGCGCACAAATGGGTGCAAATGCATTTTCTATTTAAACAACGTGGCGCAGGATGTGAAAATGAAAACGGAGTCGGGCTGAAACTAGCAAAAAACACTTGCGTCGTGCCTGGCGCCGCATTGCGCCAAGTGTATGATAGGCCCCTAAAAGTGGACCTCAGAGAACAGTACAACATACAAAACAGAGGCAGTTCATGACCCTTTTAATGTTGTTGAATAAAAGGTAATTTTAAAACTAGTTGCTAATGTGTAGAGGCCAACAAATAACAGAGAGATCTGTCTAATATGTCTCAATACAGTTGTGCGGTTACTACAAGTACAAGTACATACTTGAAATTACATACTGTCTTT